CTAACTTCGTGCTACGAAAACAACGTAAAACAAGATAATAATTATTTACATTTCGAGACAGTAACCAACTGATTGAATTTTATTTTTTCTAAATTAAATATTCCTAAAAAAGCATTAAAAAGAAAGCAGGTTAACAGACTATTACCTTAAGCCAGTATAAATAAAGATAATCACGGAGAAAATATGATTAATACAATTGAAAAAGTGTTTAAGGCTTCACTTGCGTCTTATTTCAATTTCAATTTATTCAGTCAATGATTTACAATTCTTCCAGACTAGAAGTACCAAGAATAAAAAGCATTAAGGATAGAGCCAAAACGAGATCTCGGGAATGCGAGATCAAGATCAAGTCTTCTAAAAATACTATCAAATTCAGAGCGTGCTCTAAGAATGGGATCTTAATTATGATAATTGGCTTCAGCTACATCTAAATGGAACGGTAAATGAGAGCGCAAAGTTCTATGAGGAACATTAAAGCTGATTTGCTCAAGCAGCTCTGGACAGTCCACTAAGTCATTGATGGTATCACAAAAAAATAGTAATGACTTATCCAGTCCAGACCGTTGAAGAGTAACAGATTTCAGATTTATTAGCAAATATCGCGAAGTATAAGAAGGTAGGGGATCAGGGAGATATAGCGGAGCAGGAACGATGGTCGAAGGGGTGATTTCCGAAAAGAACTTCTAACTTTTTATGTTCTAAAATTAGTATTATTTTATTAAAAATTATACAAATTGGTCTCAAAAAAAATATTTTCTATGCACTTTACACAAAATTAAAATTTCTTTGCTTTATTAAGAACTAGAAATCGCATGCGACCCCATGCGCATGGAATTTAAATATGGTTCTAGTAAGATTTTTTGTTGGATTTATTCCAACCAATACCCCGATTTTTTCAAACAGCACAATAACAATATATTTCTGTGACAAAAATTTCTTAGCGGAAACTACCTTTAAATCACGATACAAAAATTCTATAAGGTAGTTCCGTTGAAGAAAAATATTGAAAAAATTAAAAAAGAACATCTAAATTTTTGACACTTCCGTAAAGTATTTCTTAAGACTAGCCTTCACTAGAAAAGGAAAATAACAGTCGACAAAAGAAAGCTAAGAGCAATACAGCGAAGTGAACAGCACTAAGTTCAACACTGTGTTGTGGTGCCCTCGTTCTAGAGGAAGACTTACTTTTCAAAGCTGCAGGGGCATAGATTTAGAGAAATCGATCTACCATTACATCAGCTCCCAGTGAGGTCCGTTATTGTTTTCTCGGAAATAAAATATCTTCTTCGATTGATTTGCATATCTTGCCTCTGTAGGCATAATTAATTTCTTGGAAGCTCATATAAGTCACATTAAGTGGCCTAAATATCTGTAACGGTGAGAGCAATTTTCTTCACAGAACTTTCGTTATCGAGCAATCTGTTTAACCAGCTAACTGAATAGACTTTCAAATCTCAATATATTTATGGGCTGGATTAAATTTAAAAGTGTTGCGATCGACTTAAATGATTAAGCTATTTAATTATGAATTTTTTTTTTGAATAAATTGCTCCGCTCTCAAAAACAAACAATTATCAAAATATTATCCTGTCTGCTTACGAAATTTTTTGAAATGTCTCAAAAACTGGTGGACAGTTTTTTCAAACGTATATAGATATTGTAAGTCCCGTCGTCTTGAATTCGATTTAAATTTTTGGTGGACTCCATGTATTGCGCTCACACGTTTAATGTCATTTAGTTATGAAACTGACTGCGAAGAGAGAATGAAGTTACTTTTAAATTACTGTATCATCCTTTAAATCATATAAAGAATACATAAAATTTGCTAATTCCAACAAAAGCTTATAAATAATAAGACTTGTCGGAATTTTGATCTATTTTTTTCTAACATTTAACTTTCTTCATACTTTCTTTTCATTAAGATCATAAGACCTTCAATTCGTGTAGCTTGCTCTTCGCTGAAAGAGAATTGCAATAATTATTCACACATATTTTTCAATAAAAGTGGTTACGAGTATTCAAAAAATAAAAAATCGAAATGCCGCATGAAACCATTTCGATAACCCGGCATTGATTTCGGTCATGAACAGTCAATACCAACTCTTTAACAGAAAATCAAAAAAATGAATGAATTTTTAAATAATTTTGCCTGCAACTTCGTGTTGGACACACACAAGAATTATCTCTAATCTTCATATCAACCAAATAAGGTGAAATACACAGTGAAAAATAAAACAAGATTTTACTAAGTAATGTACAACTCAATGGAAACCAAAAAACTTACGCTAACTTTAACTATGAAAATAGAAAATAAATAAATAAAAACAAAGTAGTAAGTATTTAATGTAGGTATTTATATATTTTTATATATTCAATCTATTTTTTTTTCACAGTGCTTAGAAATTTAACATTATAAATAATTTATATTTCTATATTTCTGGTATAACTGCCAACCATTTATGAAAAAATTAGAAAACACACCTAACTACATATTAAGAAGAGAAAACTAAGTATATCTATACACTAACGGTGTTGTGAGCGAAGATGAAAAAAAAAAATAATAATTAGAAAAGGCTATAAAGAATGGTTCAATATTAGGTCTAGTAAGAGTAATAAATATATTATTTTTGCATTATATGTGTTTGAGTATTTATTTATCAATGTTGGAATTATCCGATTTATGTCAAATAGGCATCTGTAATGTTATATTATGGCTTAAAATTGACACAATCGAATTTCAAACGCTACTCCTGATACCAGTTCTTCAGCAGCCATATCGTTCGCCCGATACTGGAACGATTGGCAATCAATTGGTGCGAGGTTCGTACTATAAGGTGGATGCATAAGAACTACCCAACCAAAATCCGGCAGCTTCTGGCGAGTAGCTATTGAAGTATGAGGTCTGGCGTTATTTTGATGAAACACAATACTCATCAGGATGGTCAAGACTGGGTGACTACTTTACTTCAGGGTTTGAAGTTCCAAATGAATAGTTTGAAAATAGGAGAGCATAATACCTTGCCAATCTCATTAAACAAAACTTCCTGACCATCAATACAGGCTTGGAGTTAGTTTGGGCTGGCGCACTGCACCTTAATCATAGCCGTTTTCGATTGGCGTTTTCATCACCAATCACCATGCACTTCAGAAATGGGTCGCTTTATTTACCACGGAAAAATTCAGTTTTTTCTCGCACCCACACATCGAGCTGCTCTGTGTACTCAGCCATTTTTTAAGTAGCAATGTGCAATGTTTACCAATTTTCTTTTCGTTGACCATTTTTGACACGTGCTTAAACACTACTGAGTTGAGTGATCAACACTTCTCCCATTACGTGTTTTTACTGAAAAACGTCATCTTTCTAATGCCATCTAGCGTAATCCAATCGCACTTATAGAAAGTAAGATGCATAACACTGAGACCATATATTGCAAAAATAATGGACTACTTTTTACTAGACCTAATATATATTTTTAACCCATTATACAATTTTTTGTGTTATTTTCTGAAAGCCTAAATCAATATAATCATGAATATCCTTTTATGAAATGAGTTTGCAATTATTAAAGCTAAATTTCACTTATGACATAAATAATTTTTACAAAATTTCCTTCCTTTCAATGTAGTGTATAAAACTATTTTTGTATCAAAATCGTTATTTTAAAAATAATAAAATAATATTTGAAACAAAAAATATTACTTTAAACGTAAACTTATTAGATTTCCTCTAAAAAGTTTCACAAAACGTACTAAATTCATCGAAATTTTTATTATAACTTTTTAGCGTTTTGTCTAGCAGAATCAACTATCTTGGTATCAGAGGCCTCAGCTGGGTCTTATTTATTTATAATTTCTAAATATAAATAATAAATACTATTATATATATTAAAAAGATGAAATTAAAAGCAAATTTATAAGCAAAGTTTTTTAACAAATATTATTATTACTTATTTATTATATAAAAAATAAAATATCTGCTCTTGCATGCGAGTGTAAACGACAGTACGAAAGTGAATAATAATTGGTTTACATAAAGAAATTAAAACAGTCTGTTTGGGACTTCATAAAAAATAAATTAGCTAATGACTAAATTTTTATGATTTCATTGAGTGTAATTTACGTTATCTGTTAAAGCACAAAAATAAATAATATATATATATAACAGTGATCATTCAAACTTGACAAAAATATAAATTTTTCAATAGCATAATTGCAAATGCCCCGTTGATGATCAATTAAGCAGCGGCTTCCGACGTTTTACCGACTGAGCAACCCAAAAAATCACGATTTCAAACGATTGAACAGTAAATGGAACCAAAGTTAGGACATCATATCGCCCAATTATCGTGTGGTAAACATCCTCAATATCGTATATAAATAAATATATAAGAAGCTATTGAGCCTGTTGTATGAAATGAAACTGATTGGATCTTATTAGCGCGGCTTCAGACCATGCAAATCTACAACTGACCATATATTCATCCAACACTAAATCTCGGTACAGATTGTGAAAAATAAATCCACACAGCACTTCTTCGTCTAAACTGCCTACGACAGTACGAAAAGCAGCTGCTTCTGTGTGTAAGTTTGGTGTCCTCGTAAAACTTATGTGGTTGTGTGAACTGACGCTTAAGAATATCAAACACTTCATCAGCATTGGCAAGGACCTATTCGAGTCGTTGGAAAGCAAACGATATTTCTGACAGAGTGTGTCCTTTCTCTTAACTTAATGCTGAAAAAAATAATGCGAGCTGCAGAGCTAATAGTGAAGGAGACCTTAGTTCTGCTTCCTTCAGACTGTTTTAGGAAGCGAAGTTTATGGGTTTGGTCATCAAACAAACAGTTAGCGCATACGCGACACTCGGCTCGTCATAGTTGACGGTCACAACTTTGAAGCTGTAGATAATTTCGTCTATCTTGGAATCAGCATTAACTACAACAACAATGTCAGCCTTGAAATCCAACGCAGAATAACTTTTGCCAACAGGTGCTAATTTAAATGGAGTAGACAATTGAAAAGTTAAGTCTCCTCCCGACAAATAAAAATAAAACTCGATAATTTGCCAAAAATTTCCCATCCTGGTTATGCTGCGGAGTCGGCGCTTAGAGTTTTCAAGGGTAAGGTTTTGCGGTAGATTTAAGGACGTTTGCAATTTGGTTGCGACGTGTACTGCTTATGGTGGAACGATAAGCTGTATGAGATATTAAATGACATTGACATGGTTGAGCGAATTACGATTGGGCATTGCTGGAAGCAGAAAAAAAGACCTACATTTCGTTAGAAGGATTAGGTGAAGCAGAACCTGGCTTCCCATGGTGTCTGCCATTGGCGCCATAAGGTGAAAAAGAAATGGCTTTAATCTCGTAGGCGGTAAAGAAGAAGAGAAACGATTTCAAGCAGATATCGCTGCAATTATGGAAACCACAAAACAAGTTGGAACCAATTTCAAAGCATATTTTGATTTTCAGAGGGGCTTTCAATAAATTACTTGAAGCTGTTTTTGATATTGGCAGAGGATGACGAAATAGAAAGGAGTATATATCAATTAGGTACTTGGATATAGAAAGCCTATGAAAAGAGAAACTCTCTCAGACGAGCTTGATGAATTCAGCACGTCCAAATTTGAGCAGCAGCTGTGGCGACGTAGTAGAAAAGGAGTCTATTGAGCACTACCGTTGTTACTGTTCAGCCCTGACACAATTTCCTCGGGGAATACTTCTTCCATTGTCTCGCAGAGCTAGCCTCAGCGAAAATTGGAAACCTCGCTGCCTTTATAAGGCACACAGGAACCTCATAGCAACATCACAATGGGCTTATTTGCCGAAGTGCGCTGGTAATGTCCAGCAGTAGCAGCAACTCAACTCAACTCGAGCACGACCAATCAGATTCATTCTCATAAGCAAATTGATTAGGAAATTTTTGGATTTTTTACAGCACAAATGTCAGCATGAATAACATTTGTAACAAACATACGCTCTTTGTAGAAGATGCTGCGGGAGCTCTAAATAGTCTCCCTATGAGTTGAATGAAAAAGTTCTTTAATACTTATTTTGAGAATATTTTGATTGGAGGTCAAAGCAAGAGTAGGCTACATTGAAAACGGAATTATGACAACGACTATTCAGTTGTTAACGGTTTCTAATGTCAAATTGGTATATACTCCGATCCTCCTAAGCACCTTCCATCTCGAACAGATCTCTCTCAACTCTAACAATTCTTAGAATCGAAATGCGAACAATGATTCTTCTTAGCAATTCAATCAACTTTGGAATAGAAAGCACAACAATAAAACACCATTAAGAAAAGACGATTTTAATGCAAAGGAAAAAAAGCTATTAAAACGTGGTTGTTGAGTTGAAAGATGGAAATATGAAACTATTATTAGCAGGAGACACCCTGTTTTGCCACTGTATACCAGGCGCGCACCTTCACCAGTGACGGCGATTCGGCCGTAGTCTGCTGCTGCTGCAACTGCAACTCACTGTCACTGACAGTACCTCTGGTGGCGCGTTCAATGGACAGAGATGTCGGCTGTGGCTGCAGTTGCGGCTGCGTAGCGACTATGTGCCGATTGGCCGTGGCTACCGTTGTCGTCCCTACTAAGCTGGTGTTGCTGGTGTAGCAATTCTCACTGCACCCACTCGATGTGGCAGTTTTAGTGGTTGTTGTTGTTGAGTAAAATTTTTGATTTAGTTGCATGCTTAAATTTCTAACTTGTTGTTTTTGTGAATGCGTTTGCGACTCACATTCAATATTTATAGTTGTTGCCGTAGCGGCTGTTGCTGTCGTTGTTGTAGTGGTGGTGATGGGGGTGTTGTAGTAATCCACGTTGTTACTGTTTTGTGCTACCATTTGGTGCCTACAGTAAGGTTGTTGATATTGTTGTGGCTGATGCTGATAGTACGAGGGCGGCACATATTCGCATTGTTGCAGCAACAGTTGCAACTGATATGCATTGTGTAGTTGTTGCGGATGGTGGAAGTGATATGGTGCAGGTTTTGGTCCCACCTGTGGACAACGATACCGTACTGCCGCGCTGATATCTCGACGCGACCAATGTGCACCGGTCGCATATACGTTCGGTGGCAGGTTATGGTCGCTCGCGCCGCCGTAACGATTAAGGCCGGAGTCAATCGCGTTCGCATCGGCACCATCATTATCACCACCACCACCACCACGTCTCCCACTATCATTGCCATTTTTGCCACCGCTCCAACTAACCTCTTTACGCGATTTACTGTTACGTGGTTTGCTCCGTTGCCGCTTCAGTAGACGACTCCATTGGCGTCGTTGCTGCGGACGTAGATGACGGAGCTGCAATTCAATTTGTGGCCGAAGGCAGTGATGGCACATTGATGAGAGTTTCTCGCTGACTGCTTCTTCACTATCGCTGTCGCAGGAGGCAGTGGAGGTGTCGCTGCTGGAAGTATGCGCTACAATCGTATCAACGCTGTGTGTACAACGAGTTTCGCTCAGCTGTGTTTTGTGGCTATCATTGGCTAAATTTTGGCTTATTAGTGCATCGATTTGTTGCTGTTCGTGCTGTTGCTGTTGCTGTTGTTGTTGTTGCTGCTCTAATTTAGATTCGGGCTGTGCTGACTGAGGCTGTGCTTTATCGGGTAGTTGTATTTGTAGGACTTTTTTATTCGACTTACGTTTATCTGGCTTTTTACATTTGTCGCGCTGCGCCTGCGCATCCAGTGGCATTTGTTGTTGTTGTTGTGATACTTTTTGCTCTTGACTTTGACGTTGTTGTGATGATGATTGTTTGCGCCTATTGCGACTACTACGTGTGCGACTATGATTAGTTCCCCCTCTGTTGAGACCCTTGCCCCTACCCAATGACTGTTGTTTGCGTTGCCGGTGCGTGCCGGTGCTCTCGTCTCGTTTCTCCAACGGATATGGTCAGAACGCTGAATCGAATACAGACATCGACCGTGATATGGCTTCGTCATTTCGACACGTTTCCAGAAATTCATCTAACGTTACTACACCGTCACGATTTTTGTCCATTTTCTGTAATATAAAATATTAAAATAATTATTATAACAGCGCCATGGGAATCGATTCATATTTTGTTTTGTAATCTTATCTAAGAAAAACTATTTTCAAATTCAACTATAAATTTGACCCATTAATTTTTTTTTTAATTTTTTAATTTAAATTTCGCATAATATACGAAGAAATTAAAAAAAGTTCAGTCAGTTGGTGATTTTCAATTTGTTTTTGTTAAATCTGAAAATACCAAATCCTTCGCAATTACTTTATTAGTTTTCCTTTCAAATTTTAGAACGATCAACTAAAATAGAGACGAGAAACCACGAGATAGCAGAGAATAGGACAGACGAAACTCCACCACCAATGCAAACAGAAATTCGGCATGTGATTCTCTTCCGATTTCAACATAATTTAAAGCCAATACAAATATTTAGTGAATACCAAAATGGATATGGAACGAGTGCACCGTCTTTAAAGACTATTTCTAAGTGGTTCCGAAAATTCCAGACCGTACAGTTTTCCGTAGAGGACGAGCCCCGTAGTGGTCGACCAAAATCTTCCACTGATGACGCTGCTGAAGCCCTGGTGAAGTCCAGAATTGACAAAGAGCCCCGATTAACAAAAGAAATAATTTTAAGTAACGCCAAAAATAGGGCTCGTGTGCATTGTCTCAATTGCTGTTACTGATGACGAATCTTGGTTTTATAAGTACGATCCAGAAACCAAACAGCAGTCCATGGTATGGACTCAAAAGAGGGGTAACCTAACCGTAAAATCTGAGCAACAACTAACAGCAGCAAAAGTAATGATGCCAATTTACTTCACCCGATCTAACATAGTTGCTGCTAAATGGTGTATCAAGGAGCGCTTACCAAAAGTTTTAAAAAATTTGCTGCAAAACAGTAAGAAAGAGGATTTGCGGCACTACTTTTCACATCATGACATCGCGCCATCCCACACTGCTGAAATAACGAGTAATTTTATTGCGATTTTTGGGATTTCTGGTTTATGGCAAGGAGGAGATAGTTAATGCGGTTAATGACGAAATTGATAAGCTTAAAGAGCAACACTTTGAAGCCTGTTATCAAAAGTGGATTTTTAAGCATGTATTGAATTCATTGGCGATTATGCAGAGAATATAATAAAGGACAAAAATTATGAATAAATACCTAAATAATTTTTTTTTATTTTTATATGGTCAATTTACTGAACTTTTGTAAATCTCCTCGCATTCGTCTAAATCAAATAATTTTCTATTGCAGCTTACTGGAATGTTTGGCGTGGTTAGATTAATTTTTTTGCTATTTTCGGCCGAGCATCTTTTTCTTGTGGTATGCCTCTTGATATTTTTTTGAGCTTGCTTTTATTTAATATCGGAAGGTTTGACATTACGAGGAAAACGCGTTCAAAGTTTTTTGAAAGTTTGCCTTGTGAATTTGTGAATGCGTGAGACAGGTGCGTTCGGGAAGGTGCCATTTGAAAAATATTCATCGCATTGCAAGATCCCTTTAAACACATACTCTAGAAATATTTGGCTTTAATTTTTTGCTTAAAATAAATAATTTTTTTATCTTAAATCAGGAAAGGGGACCTTTAATGCGATTAATTAGTTAGTCGAATCTATTGCTTAATTAATATTTCATTACTTAGTATATAAAGTAATAATCAGTTTTCAGATAATTACGTTTCAATTGGTTAGAGATAATTTTACTAATTGATTAAAATAATTAATTTAATTGTATTGAAAGCTTATTAGTCATGGCCTTTAAAAATATTTGATTTAACTGTACACAGGTTTGAAAAACCTTTTTTCAATAACTATTTTCATTAACTACTTTCGGTGGATTTAACTAATCGTGACTTGATTAGTCGACATGACTTGATTAATCGTCAAAGCATGATTAAAAAGAGATCATTATGTGAAAGATTTTGTGTGAATATGTTTGAATAAAATTAGTATTGAAACATTTTCTGGTGTGTTTTAGCCTTACCAGCTAATAATATTTATAACTCTTATTGGGGGAAAAATTCTTAAACGTTGTGTCTATAAATTAGCTCCGAGATTAGCTTTCATAATTCACTAAGCCCACAAGTCATTAATTCGAAACACATCAACGTGCCAAATGTAATAATTTATGAGCCAATTTAATGCTTTCGCCATCAGATAAAATGTTAGAAATTGTATTTAAGTGTGTAGCTGTAATGCGCGCAGGCATGGCAACGGTAGAGTAAAAATGTATAAATTGGAAACCATGCAAAGAAAGCTGTGTTATCCATTCAGGAAAGATGACCGTGACAATGGTAATTTTATTCCACTTCTCGGCTGCGCGGTTATGGCCGCGAGCTCTCCATTTTCGCTACTTAAATTAAAGTGCTTACAGGCTTTATTTTCATGCTTCGCAAACTTTTTGCATTAACTTATATTTCTTTTACGTGAATTCTCTTTTTAGATGAGAAAATACTGATTTCATCGAAATTAATTTTATTCCTTGAAAATAGCTGCCAATGCATTTGTTACCACTTACTATCTGCATACATATATACATGCCTATGCGCAACAAGTGGCAAACACTTACCTGGAAAATATGCTCGACTTTGCATTTGATTTTCTCCTCCTCGGGACACTCGTCCGGTAAGCGTCCCATCAGCTCATAAATGGCAGTCACAATATCAGTCATTTCTTCCCTCGTTATGAAGCCATCGCCATTGATGTCGTACAACGAGAATGTCCAACGTAATTTCTCCTCCACAGAGCCCCGCGACAATATCGAAAGTCCCTGAACAAAGTCCTATAAACAGAAAGCAAACAAATTTACTTGGATAATGAACATGCACCAGTGATGAAGCAATAAAGGTATGAGAAAAACGATAAATACTTTGGGGAAAAAGAGCAAATTTTTACTCAGTAAAATTTAAGAATTTTCTTTTTCCCTTCCCTTTCGTTTTAAGAGTTGGGGTAAACATAAGCTGTGCACAGCTGCTAAGTTGTAACCGCAAATGTTTCGTCAATCGTTATCTGTGTTATTTCTCTTTTTTTTTAGTATTTATGCCTTCTTTTTACATGCCCAATTGGTAATTGTTTCATTTTTCACGATGTTTTTGAAGTGCGTCATTTATTTTTATCGTTCGGAAAATTACGCCTTAAATTACCGCAAACAAGCAAATTGATTCAGAATGTACTACAACGTATTTAAGGCAAAATTGTGAACGAAAGACAAAAGGAAACGAAAACATTTTGTCATTGAATTGAAGCTCCACTAGAATGGTATATATGCTAATAGAGTAATCATTTTTGGCCAAAAACTTTGGTAGAAAATATTACTCTAGTAAAAATAATCCATTATTTTCACATTAAATTGAAAACTTTATTTGCCACAGTTAGAATTATCCGATTTATGTCAAACATGCAATGTGCTGCACGCTTGATAACATTTTGCCTTTCTCATAGGAACCCTTGTGCCTATTGGCAAGCAATCGGTACAATCAATTTTCATAGGCTTCTCTTGTGGCCAATTTTTCACCAGCCAAATCAACCGCCATAGACAGGAACAGATGATAATCACTTGGTGGGAGGTTCGGACTATAGAGTGGATGCATAAGCATGCTCCAACCAAGCTTGCGGCACTTCTGGCGAAACACTATCGGTGTATGTGGTCTAGCGTTATCCTGATGATTCACAATTTCTCTCCAGGTGAACAAAGTTGGGCATCATCCCTTAGATGGACGTATTGCGAGTTTTGTTGCTGAAGTGCAGCTCTTACAAATCATCCACTTCTTGACAATTTCACACAAACACCTTCCTGGCCGTCAATCCTGGATTGGAGACAATTTGTGTCACCCTCCGTTTCAGATATGACTCGGTTTTGTTACGTTTCAGCAGCCACGTCCTAGAGGTTATTCTCGTCATCATATGTTGCACACATACATCGAGCTTCCTTGTATATAAAGTCTTTTTTTGCAAGTGGTTCCAAGCTCCATTTTCTTGTATTGCTTAGCTCCAGAACAATTAAAACAATGTTTGCCTGACGGCGTATTTTCTCGTTGATGGAGTCCATTTTTGGGTCGGGTTCAAACACTGCTGAGTTGAGTGATCAAAATTTCTTGCATTATCTTTTTAATACAAAATATCATCTTTGTAACACCCTCACGAGTAATCCAATTCACCTTATAGAACGGGAGATAAATACTACTCGGATAGATTAAACTCGCAAGCATAAATACTTTCTCACCACGAGTTAAAGCGTCTGCTCGGGTAGATTATAGTAATTTTCTCCACACTCGCTAGCATAAAAGCAGGTTGAGCTGAAATCAGCTGATTTGCATTTAACCTCATTAGTTTCCGTGTTGCTAACTTTTTGCCAAAAAAACAATTATTTACATAAAATTTTACCAAAATTTTTCAAAGCTGGGCTTGGCTGCCCTGATATTAACTCCATTCTGAATTCAACTCCAGTAAAACATTTGGCGTTTATGCTTGTTTAAGCCTTCTATTGCAAAAATAAATCGGCTTTCGGACGTAATCCACATTTGAATTGAGATGTGCCTTGCAATATTTTCCAACAACTGGAGGGACCTACAGCTTTTAAGTCGCCTCCGAAGGGCTGATGGATTTTTATGAGGAGCCTTTTTTCATGTCAACACTGAGAGGAGTTTACATTCCCGGCCGAGGGGCGACTGCAATTATAATTTTTTTGTTCATAGTTTCTATTTTTAGCGTAAATATAATATTTAAAATTTTTTTTTTGTTTCATGAAATGAATTTTTTATTATAAAACTTGCCTAGAGCAAACATAATATTACGACATTCAAATGACGGCCTCGGAAATTTTGCTAGCTCCGATTGGTTTGAAATAATTTTTGACCACTTTTTGGCACTATTGTGCGGAATCTCAGCCATAAATTGAAAAATTTTGGTTTCCAATTGCTCAAGAGTTAAAGACTAATCCGCATAACCTCATATAAAAGTTCAAAAGGGGTTAAATCACACGATCTCAGGAGCCAATTGACTTCGCCAAGACGAGGGATTCATGACCGGGAGATTTCTTTAACATTAAAACTATACTCGCTTGAGCTGTGTGGCATGTGACAGCCACGCCGTTGTTGTTTCCAATGAAGTAATGTCCAATCACACCTTCGGCCCAAAGAGCACACCAGAGAGTTAGCTTACGAAATATCGCTCGTTCAGCTGGCTTCAGTTGTTGTGTGAGCGGGGCTTTTTATGGATGAAAGTGTGAGTCTAAGTGCTAAATATGCCAGAACGTGCTGTAAGGAAGTCCCAACACTTGAGAACGTCGACAAAAGTCACACATTCGGGTCGTCGACTGCACTTTCACTTATAATAGCGATATTTTGGGTAGAATGAACAAAACGATCATGTACAAGCTTTACAGTAATTGTAAACGATCAAATATCTGTCAATTTCTTTAAAATTTTATCAATCCTTTGACTATTTAAATGATTATGTGCACCATAATTTTCTCTTAAAGCACAAAATGTGGCTACTTTTGAATCGCCAATTTCGTAGTCTATTTTCATAAATGCCTGACTTTAACTCTTTGGTATGACAGTTAAGTTTGACAGATTTCAAAATACAGCCCTGTAGATTTCATACCACGAAATGGATATTCCTTTATATATATGTACACGTGTGCTGAGTTTACTTCGAGACATTTACGTATTTTGACATTTTCATGAAAAACTTTAAGTAGCAAAGAAGTGACCAACAAATACATATTTTTGCGAAAATGCGAGGCGAATGCCAGATGAAAGAGAGAAGCCGATAATTAGTACATTCGAAACGAGAACCTTCGATAGCGAACAACTCGATGGTTCTAAACTTTCGTTTGCGAGCAGCCGACTGCTATATAAGGGCAACACTCAGCTGCCAAGTCAAGTTAGTTACAAAGTGAACTCATTGGCGTTAACATAGAGTATAGCGGAGTGAATGCGTTTCAGATTACATTTAAGTAAAGTAAATTGTGAAAGTTGATGCTAGTTATTGTAAATAGTAAAGTGCATTGTAATTGAATTGTGAATTACTGAGTAAATAAAGGACATTAGATAAATTCTTTATAACGGAAGAAACTGCAAATTAAGTTGGTGAGTTTTTATTTAACAATTCAGAGATCGTACCCGAAGGATTCAGAAAATAATCGAGGTTGATTTAGCAAAATCGTAACAATATAATAGCTTGATCAATCTTATAAAAGTCATATGACCGTTTTGGAAAATTAAGGAATCACCAAAAAGTTACCGTCCAATTGACTTAAAATTTTGTCAAGTCGTTTATATGAATCTTGGGAAGGTTTACAAGAACTATCGGGAAGTGTACCCGGGACTGACCTATTCGAAAAAAGCTCTTACTTCCGTTTGTAACGGGTGTTCTCCAAAAGATATCGACCGATTGACTTGAAATTTCGTCAGATTGCTTCTATGATTCCTGGGAAGTGGAAAATTTTTTTTCGCAAAGCGTATCTATTCGAAGAAATCTAACCTACCTTAACCTTTTTACATAGATTAACAGGAAGACTACACTTCTCCTCGGAAAATGGACCAAGGACTTTACTATTCGAAAAAAGTTTATTTATGGCTGGATTTACTTGAAATACAGTGAATAGGTGGCTTCTTCCTTAGATGACCAGGAAAACTACTCTTCCTTTCCGGGAAGTGAACGGAGGGACTGGCTTTATACGGTTAAACCAAAAATATTGTATTCCCACAATGAGTATGAGCGACAGCAAAGCGTTGCAGGGTACAGGTGATAATACAATAACATTCTTAATATTTTGACCTAGATGGTGCTTCAATAGGGGAGTACTTAACGTTCTTTAAAATACCAATTGAAATAAAAATTGGACAAGACATAGAAAGACACAAAAATTTGTGGGTGCGACTGCTAGTTTCTTATAATTTTGGAAATTTGTCTCGCCAAAAGTCAAACCTGTGAACTACCGCATGGCAGTGCGCACTGCTAACCATTCCTAATTTAGTGTAAAAAATCAAAGCTTACCTAATTATCAATATGACAAATTAAGCGACAACCAATTGAAAGGAAAAGCGTAGAAGAGAAATGGGAAATTAAAAGAGCCAAATCTCAAAAATGTTGTCATAAACTGAACTGAGAATTGTCATAAACCAAAACGCAAAAAATGTTGAGCGGCCGAAGAACTGCAAGTAATCACAATCAATGTGGCTTTCAGCTGGTCAGAGCAACAACTCAAGGAATATTGAAATCCACGAAATCTCTACTACTCTTTTAAGCGTCTACAATAAAATCCCACCAGGAGGAACAGCAGATGAAAGTATAAAGCTCGTTTGTGCATGTTTGGAGCAATCATTTGAGCTATAAAAGCGCATGTACGGCCTAAATACCGTTAAGGCACGCCCGGAAAAAAGTAATAATTCTAAGCAACAAAAAGCAAATTGAAAACAAAAGCAAATACATGCATTCAAACGCTTACAATTTGTGTTGGGAAACATTTTTTTTTTTTTTATTTGGCAACGCTATTAAGTGAGCTTTGTCGAGGCTGACTGCGAAATGAGAAAAACAAGAAGAAAGAACTAATGCGGAACTGTTTTAGAAGTGATAAAAAAATTGTTTCGTAAAAATAAGAGAACCAACACTAAAAGCCAACAGGAGTAATAACGAGAACAGCGAAGGAACGTAAAAAATCATGCTTATAAACATAAAGTATATTATGAGCTCATTAAGCTGCGAGTCGCGGCGCAACAATCGGCGGTAACTTCAATGTTGTGGCATACGTACTGTGCTGTGCTAAAAGGGGCGTCAATATTTGCTTTTACATGCAAAATAAAATAATATATGTGAGTGCTTATATGTTTGGGTAGCTTTATTTCAGCATCTGACATTGTAATGCTGTCACGCCACCATGGATGTGTGGCGCATTAGCATTGATGGACGCAGACACGAGGGTCCTTTTAGTGAAAGTGCTGCAGAATGATGTGTTTGTATGTGGCATGAGACAGTTGACCTTTAATACCACACGATGTTAACTAAGTTATAACGACACTAAACACCTAATCAAGTGATACAAAATGGCAACAAGCAAGCTTTAAATGTTAATGACTCATCGTGTTGTTGTGACATTAGTCGAGCTCATAGTGCAGGGGAATGATAAGTGAAGTGAATTGCAGTGTTTGGTTTTTTTCACAAGGACTTTGTCGAAACCGACAGCTCATTGGGTAACAGATAATTTAAAAATTGGTGGAGGTTTTCGCCCGAAAATCAGTTCCGCGGTTACAAAGAAGGTTATAGGGTTTCTGTGAAATTCCAATTCGTGGTGTTCGTCTTGACGTCTTGAGGGACCTACAGCTTATAGCAAGCCGCCGAACGGTAGACGGATTTTTGAGAGACATTTTTTTTATTTCATGTCAGAAATGCAGTCGGAAGGTTTGATATTCTCTTCAGAGCGGCGATCGCAATTAGAATAATGAATTTTCTATAAAATTGGATGCTGGTCGAACCAGAACTCGAATCCTGACCTTCTGAGTAGCAACAATGTTATCCATTCGCTTACTGCAGCCGCCATTTAAATTATTCAAAAGAACAAAAAAAAAGGAAAACAAAAATTATATAAAAGTTTTGGTGGTTTGAAAATTTGTAACTCCAAATGGATAAAGGGAACAGTTACATGAATATGATCTGCAGTTTTCGATTACTGAAAGCCAATATCGGCATTTAATAGGCAGTATACATTACACACAAATGGCAAAGTAGGTTGTAGAGTATACACTGACCGACACGCGGAACCAACCGTGATAATGGTAGCCGGTTCATGGTTGTTCGTTTCTAATATGTCAACCCAACGTCCTATTACTATATATTCTGAAGTCTCTATACTATCATACCACCTGGAAGATGGCACTAAAATGCGGAACAAACAAAAACAAACTTTCAAAAGATGCGAAACATCTGTAGATTGGATCCCTGGTCACATGGGCAAACTAGAGAACTGCGTAGCAGATGAACTGGCCGGAAAAGAAACAGTCCTTATCACGGTAAACTCTGCACATGATGGGATAATACCGCTTTCTTCGGCAAAGTATCTGCTAGACTAGCATTCTATAGAAGGGCCAACAGCAGATGGCAAAGGGAAACCACGTGCAATGTGAAAAGACAAATTTGGCCATTAAGCGAGGTTAACAGAACGACAGATCTATTCCTTCTAAGGCGGACTCTGTTTCACTGCCCCTGCTGCAGAGACTTAGATGAGGAGCAATCGTTGGAACATATGAACTGCCCAGCTTTCAGGGCGGCCCGATATCGTTTTCTTGAAAATTTCTTTTTAATTTGCAAAGCTTGCATCGATCTTAACACACTAAGTGGTTGGAGTATTTGGAAAGGTGAAAGGAATCTCTTTATCAGGATCAGCATGGGTATCACAACGGGCCAATAGGCATAGTCAGTTCTGTCTTCTCCAAGCTTGACAAAGCGCGAAGCGAATGGATCTGGCTAAGGCAACAGGACGAATTAACACTCTCATCAAACAAACAGTCATCGCATTCGCATTTCGTCTATCTAGGAACCAGCACCAATAATAATGTCAGCCTTGAAATCCAGGGAAAAATCACTCTTGCCCACAGGTGCTACTTTGGACTGAGAAGGTAACTGAAAAGTAAATTACTCTCTTTACGAACCCAAACCAAACTTTGCAGGTCGATTATAGTTCCCTTCCTGCTGTATAGTGCAGAAGTGTGAACGATATTAACATCCGATGCGGCGGTCCTGGAAGTCTTCGAGAGAAGGGTTTTGTGTAAGATTTATGGTCTTTTGCGCAGTACTTACGGCGAATACCGGGGACTATGGAACCATAATCTGGACGAGCTATTTGGTGACATGATACAGGTTTAGCGAATGAGGAGACAGCTGCCACAGTAGCTATGCCATGCCATAGGTATGATTAAAAATGCTCCAGCTTCGAAAGTTATCGAAGCAGTAAATGCCGGTGGAGGTAGTGGAAGACAAAAAACTCCACTCCGTTTGAAAAGATCACATGCAGAGCGACCTGTATTCAGTTTGTACTTCCAACTGCGTATGCTCTGTCCACGTCAATAGAGAGAAAAAGGAAGGTTATAACTGTTTTGCTTCAAAATTTTTGTCAAACATTGACACCTGGCAAACAATTAAAGGTTAAAAAGTGAAAAAATCATATCAAGGAAATGTCAAAATATTATCAGAAAAGTTTTTGAGAATGTGGACATATCGGTTAGCTTCTGACAGACGAGTGTTACCTGAACTAAGGTCTCTTAGTTGCTTTCATTCATATTTTTTCCCTCAGGTACAAAATCCACAGCTAAAGACAATACGAATAGTGAACCGAGAAAACCGAAGAGTACAATTCTTGACCTCTGTTCTGTACATATGTACATATGTATGTACACAATATTGAAATTTAAATTCAAATCATTTTGTTCCAGTGGTTTTCAGCTTTTTTTCAATGCTTATTTATTACGAATATTTCTTTAATTTATACAGTGTTTGCCTTTATTCTGTTTATATATTTTTATATATAGATATTTAGACACTCACTTTTCAGTCTTTGCGAGTGAATGTTTTTTTTTTTACTTTTGCCTCTTAGTTAATTGTGGTCAATATAAATAAATAAATCCCCAGAGCTTATATTTTTTTATATGATAGATATATATTAAAATTTATAAGCGTAATTGTCGAATTGGAGAAAAACGGGTGAGAAATGGAAAAAAGTGTTTTTCATTTCGGTGTTTACTTTCATTAGCAGCTGAAACTACCAGTACAATCTACGCAAATGTTCTTCTTCGAATTTAATTAAAATAAATTGTTTTGGGTTACAAAATGCTTGCATATTTTTCGCTTGCGGCGTGCACGTTTAATTAACTTTGAAAACGAATATTGAATATTCAAATAAGTCGATGGAGGAAGACATGTTGCACGCATACAGCGAGCGTATGAGGAATCCTTTACCCTTTGGTAAAAACCCGCAACCGCGTTTGCAAGCACAAAAGCTTGCATACTTCCTTCTGTGTACAAGCGAAAAGAGACAGATTTTGCCTTGAATATAAAACACAAATACATATGCATGAAGATGATTATTGGCGAAGAACATGTTTTTCACTTACCTCAAAGCTAACAATGCCGCTGTGATCCTGATCGAGTGTGTTGAAGACGTAGTGTGCGTACAGAGTAGGGTTGGCTGTTGTGTTCGATTTCGTTGCATAGTTCAAGGCGCATGTTCCATTGCGCAATTCCATCGTTAACATTATTTTTGTGTTTTATTTGTAATTGTGTGTGTGTGAATGTATGCGGTTTGGTAAAAGAAAAAAAGCATTGATTAATTAATTCTTGCGTATCTCAAAGTCAAAATGAAATTGTATATTTTTAGGAAGCATGTGTGTATGTGTAGTAATTTAAGCAGTTTTTAGCTTTCCAATTTTTTAATTGATTATTTTGCAATATTTATTTAGTTGGTAGTAACAAATTACAATGCACACATTTATGAATTTATGATTACAATTACAAAGTGAATATAGTTACCATGGACACTAAACATATAGCTATGTAAATAAAGCACAACGGTTATATGTCTAGAGTTATCCATTTCGTGGTTTCAAAAGTACAGCGCGGGATTTTAAATTTTGTCAATTTTAACTGTTAAACTAAATATGTTTTGTGTTAGCTAAAAGTCGGCCAGTAACGAAAATTATCGGTTGACTACCGCGCAACGCTTTAAAATTTTTTAACAAATTAAAGAATTGGTAGCTCAAACAAGGCTACTTTTTGTACTTTAAGAGAAGATTATTGTGCACATAGTCGTTCAACTGTGCGCTTAGGCGGGTAAACCTTTAACTCTTTGTCAAAATGTGATAGAAAATAACCTAAAACGGTTCGAAGTCTGCAAAAAATTATTTGCATGAAAAATATGATTTTAAATTCATTTTATTTACGTTTCTTTTCGAAACCGCAAAATGGATAACTGTATATTTATATGATGCTACATATTAGAAAACAGCAAAAGAACATTTTTTTTTTGTTATTTAAATTATATTTTTTATATATAAGTCCATATTCAATCAATCACTAACGAAATCGAATACTTATGAGGGGCAGCTGATAAGTTCGCGCTCTAAGGTGGTCAGAGACGACACATCATCTCGATTACATTTATTTATTATTACGCACGTTTATATCTTAAATTACATCACAGTTTTGAGTTTAATTACAAAACTTATGGTACCTAAATTGCTGGAGACTTGCTTTGTGTCATTTAAATTATAACAGTATTGATTAGATGTATATGTATTTTACAACGCAAACACTCACAATAAGACGATCATCTCGATTGGACAAAAACTGAAGTAAGGAAAAAGCTAACAGTGCAGCGATCCTTTGTCAAATCGAGACCGTCCACTTTTACGTCATTCCGTTGGTTTTTCATATGCGCATAGCTAAAGGAAACCTGTTCTTGAAATATGTCTGGATGTATATGTTCCATGGGTTCCAAGTGCGAGTTTAAGTTTTCAAAAATGCGCAACGGCGCTTTAAGTAAATGTTTAATTATAAAACCCATTGTGACATCGTGAATCGATGAATTGATTTCCGCCACCAGGTAATGGCAGCATTTTCAACGTCAAAGCACGACTCAGGCAAAACCCAAACCAAAAAGAAGACATTTTACAGCATAAAGCCTCTTGAAAATGTCACGGTTTGTATTAATTAGATGCCCCTTTGTCTTTTCCTGGTAGTGTGTGTCTACAGCGTCTGTAAGGACCCTGTCTGATCACGAGCCAATTGAAACCAAGTTTTGATGATCAACGCCAAACGTGTGTCGTGATAATTTTTTTTTGTCATTTTTTTTATTAGTTTTATTAAAATTTCATCACTGGAAGTGGTAACAATACTATGTCAACGGAAACTGAGCAACGGAGCAACGCGCTGTGATTAAATTCCTTGTAAAAAAAGAAGTACGCCGAAAGCAATTTTTAAAAAAGATGTCAACTGTTCTGCAGCACTCTGCTCCTTCACATACGATGGTGGAAAAGTGGGCTCGACTGTTTCAACTAAGGAGGGAGACCTGTGAAGATAATCCTGCCTGGGGCGCCCCCTGACGGTCGAAGAAAATGTTCAGTAAGTCGAAAAATTAGTATTGGCTGATCGAAGAATTAAATTGTGAAAGAATTACAGACTAGAAAAGAACTTGCTGAAAGATTTTATATGAACATTTGAATATGAAAAAATTAGTGCGCGTTGAGTAACGCGAATTCTTACGTCAGGACTCGTCAGTATGATCCCGATTCCAAACAGGATTCAATCGAGTGGATAAAAAAGAGGAAGGGCCACCAAAAAGTTCAATGCGGAGAAGTCGGCGTGGATAGCAAGGAAATATTCGTCTTCTTCTTTATTAACGTTGATACCGCTTACGTGATTATAGCCCAACCAATTATAGCGCGCCATTCATCTTTTCCTTTCGCTGTTTGGCGCCAGTTGGAAGTACAAACTAAACACAGTTCGCTCTGCACCTGATCCTTCCAACGGAGTGGAGGTCTTCCTCCTCCTCTGCATCCACCAGCGGGTACCGGATCCAATATTTTTAAACCTGGAGTTGTTTCATCCACTCGGACGACACGTTCTAGGCAGCGTAGCCGCTGTTTTTTCATTCACTGAACTATGCTAATATTTGCCAAAGGAAACTACAATGAACGACAAGTATTACGCTAAATTTTTGAGTGCGCATGAGGCAATCATACAGAAGAGACGTGGAAAGTAAGCGCACGGAGTGTTGTTTCTTCAAATTTACTGGGACGAAAATTTTCAGACAACAGGGAGATGAAAGCGCCTGTAGAAATCCATTTTGAGGAGATATTTAAAGAATATTTTTTCAGTGGTCTAAAGGCATTGTGCTCACAATGTGAAACGATTTTTCACTTGATGGATACTATATTGAAAAAAAATAAATAAAAATCAAGAAAACCAAAACTTTTGTTTGATAAGTACCTTAGGCCGCAAACTTATCAGCCGATCCTCGTATAGAGCGAAATAAAATAGATTCAGAGTAAAGAAATTTAAAACTACGAGGTGTGACAATTAAGTAATGATACTGATTATATTTCCGCGATTGTGGTAACCCTGCATTGATATATTTGCCATCGCTCTAGCTTGTTAAGTTCGCCTACTGTGCCGTGTTGAGTAAACGTTTGTTCGTGGTGCTCGTTACGAAAATAGACAAACGAAATCAAGAGCAACTCGTCGCGATAAAATTTTTCGCCAAATTGGGCGAAACAATTTCGGAAACGTTCGCTAAAATTGTAACAGTACATTGTGCCTAGGTCGATTTTGGGATAAGAAAATTGTGCGCAAAGATGGTTCCAAATAACCATGGTCTGAGGACCAAAAGCAGCGTGTTCCAGTATTTGGCCTTTAAAGGGATTACCGTGTTGCATCAACCGCCTTATTCGCCCGATATGCCACCCTATGAGTTTTTTTGTTGCCTAGAAAGAATCGGTCGATTGAGTCGATTGAGAACATCCAGGTGGCCGTGACGAGCGTACTCTCAGGCATGCCGTCGAAACGTTCTAGCAATGTTACTTGCTGCCCAAGTGGATTACTCAGAAGGGGATAACAGAGCTGTAGAATAATTTTGAAATATACGGTTTTTATGGAATCAGTCTCATTACTTAATTTGTCACACCTCGTAAAATATGTATTTAGGTAATTTAACAATGATTTTATATATATCACTTTGAATATTTGATATTACATATTTCTTCATATTTATTACATATTTTTGGTATTTATTTTAGCACAATTTGTTTGGAATTTTTTTTGCTTTCATGTTTTCGTTATTAATACCTTCAAAAAGCATTCCTTTGCCGATCCTTATATAAATAAATGACATTAACTTGATATGACACATATTACATAGTGAATACACTACAACTACATACAAATGGCTTTTACAAAAAGTACTTATTTATACAAAGAATGATGGTAATAATACTTACTATTAAGATTACTTGATTTACAATCAGCTAATATTTTCTTCCCTTTTAGTTGTTACATTAAATTACACAAATATTCTAATACACTCAAGCCTACTCTTGCATAGGAAATCGAATATGTAATTCCTCCTTTAATTAATACTCAATTAATGCAATTCAGTTTTTCTAATACTTTTATCAATCAAGGAAAATATTTTAATTCATTTCTGTAATTTATTATACTTAATACCTCAGAGTTGATGGGCAATACAAAGTATTATTTTAAATAGCTAAAAAATTAACTATTTAATACAAAAATTTAAAGTTAAATCTAGAAGGCAGCACTGAGTTAAATCAACCCATAAATTTTGATTTGAGGTTCTATGTGCAGGCTCATCAAATCTGGTGTTGAAATGCAATCTTATCAACAGACATGTAAAAACACGTTAAGATCATTAGCGTTCTGGAAGAAATAGGAAACTAATGCCCAATAGCAAAACACACAAGGAAATTTCACCTAAACTGGAGTTGTGCGCAAAATTCGGAGCTAATTTATTCATTTAGTCAAGGTAAGCCGCAAACGAATACTTAAGCCAGTTCAGCAGCGAGACATTGACCGGAAGATAAGATGCGAACAGTCAGAAACGCAGAAATGAGCGATAGCTTAAAAAAAAGATGACAATATCATAGTTTCAGCAGCGATAAATTAAAAGTACGAACAAAAGTTAAAAACCTCTACTCACTGACAGGCATTTGCAAAAGAAAGTATCAAAATTGGAACTCAAATGACTGTGAGAAGGCTAAATGATCGAATGAGACAAAAATAAATTGTTTTGGGTCAGATGATCGAGTGTGCGTTTGGAGAAATATAAGCTCATAATTGTAAGCTCATAATGTCAGGTGAAAAACAATGAAGTTTGGCGGGGACTGCATGATTTCCAAGGGTGTTGGTTGGTTGGCGAAAATTAAATGAAAAATGACAGCAGATTCCTTAAAGGGACTTTAAAAAATTATTTATTTATAACAAATCAATGATCTGACGCATACGGCAAGGATCACATTCAACCATTAGATAAACAAACCCTTAAAGGTGAGCTTCCTCTAATAAATTTAAAACAATTTGAATTTTTCTGCAAATTGATTGAAAATGCTTTTAGAAATAATATTGAATTAGTCCTAAGGATCCGCAAGACCAAAAAGTAAGTATAAAAGAGGGAGA